TGATTGCACTTGCATCACCTTGTCCTCCCTTGTATTGCTCCCCTCCCACCTGCGTTCATTTGTCCACTCATGAGCAGATCGCACATGGAAGGAGAGTGCTAGTCTACTTGGCAGATCTGGACCCACTCCGTTAGTACCTATCTACTCCGCTGATTCCTTTCCCTCGTGACGCTTCCCAAAGCCACAACTGAATTGCCTGCCGCTCCTTGGCACATAATCCGCTAGTTTCGGAGGCCTCTTTACCTTTGAATCAGCATGGCGGAGCTTCAGACGAGCATCGATAGTCTAACGGATGACCTTCTCCTTGCGATTCTGCGGCGGTCGTTCAAGCAACCTGATTCATGGGATTGCTACATTGGTAGCCTGTGGTCCCCCCCTTTCACTTCTTTCTTTGGCCACACTTATGATACAAGTAGATCAGATGCAGGTCTAAGATTCAATACGCCAATACCAGCCCCTCCTCCACACGCAGACGTGGCTCAGAGTCTCCTCATCGCATCTGTCTGCAGATGTTGGCGTCGCCTGGCGAAGGGTCACGTGACACAGCTTTTGGTCAAGGAGGGCGCTCGTGTGTCTGTCGATGACCTCTCAGCCGCCGTCGCGTGCTTCCCCCACCTCACCCATCTGCATCTCAGCGACAACAGCGTTCAGACGCTCAACGACGCCTTTCTTAAACACCTCGCATTGTCATGCACTTTGTTAACGACTATCCACGTGGGAAGATCCTTTGCAGCGGACCCCGATGATTATCTCAGGTTTGAACATTATATTAGGAAGGAGGAGCATCCCATCTCTGCAGACGGATTGGATTTCTTTTTCCTGAAGCTCCCTAGCTTAGAGCAACTTTCCCTCTTCTGCCCTATCCAAACAGAAGAGCTGCCCGGATCCTTCTTTGATATGAGCAATCTCCGCACCCTTGTTCTCAGCAACAAACGGGCCTTGGAGAATCCCAATTTTGCAAAGCTTACAGCCCTGACCACCGTCTGCGTCACCTTTCCCTGGACTCTTATGCACCTGGCCACCCTCTTTAGCCTCCCTAATGTCACCCATCTAACCACCTTTGCCGCATACCAGGAGCATCAGCCCTCTGCAAGTATAGTGCTGCCGCCTTGCCTCAAGTCCCTCACTTTTGCGGTTTCTTGTCCTTCGTTTGACACCGTTTTTCCACCAGCATTGCCCTTTAATGGTCTCGAAGAGCTGCTCATTACCAAGTGCCAAGGGCTGACGAGCCTTCCTGACCGTATCGGTGTCCTGCTACCGCGCCTTCGCAAGCTCACAGTTCGCAAGTGTCGTTCTCTTGTCCTGCCTGAAAGCTTCGCGTCTCTCAGTTGTTTGGAAAGTCTTGTACTCTATGAGTGCGGTCTCTGTCTCTTACCCAGCAACTTCGGCGACCTACCAGCCCTCAAACTGCTGGTGCTGGAGGATTTGTCTGTCTTGGAACTTCCTCCTTCCTTCTGCCAGCTCACATCTCTCGAGTCACTCTTTCTAGCTGGATGCAACAAGCTTCGCCTGCTGCCAGCAGGTTTCAGCGGCCTCACAGCTCTCAAGAATTTCTGCATCGCCCATACCAGGGTTGCCTTGCCTGAAGACATAGGGGCCCTTACAAATATGGAGGCTCTCATGTTGGTTTATACTGATGAGCCATTTCCTGCTTCATTCACAGAGCTCTCTTCCTTGACCAGCCTTGAGCTGGATGACTGCGGGTCAGATGTCCAGCTGCCGGAAGCCCTGGGGGAGCTGACTAGCCTAAGAGAGCTGAAGGTTTGGGGCAGTTCGATCTGCGCGCTACCTGTGTCAGTCTTACAGCTTACTGGGCTTCAAACCTTGGAGATCAGCCACTGCTTCTATCTTTCAGAAGTACCCTCGAGGCTGGATGCGCTTGTGGGGCTTAAGATGCTGGAGATGATTTACTGTGAGGAGCTCAGTAGACCTCCTACCAGTCTGCCACCCTCTCTTCAGACCCTCAGTTTTGGGTGCTTTGCAGAAGACTCTTCCCATGTCATTGACATCTCCCAGCTGACGCAACTAAGGGAGCTGACCCTATATGATGTTAGGATTGTGAGAATAGAAACGAGAATGAATGACTAAGGGAAAGTTGGGTACAAATGTAAACCCTAGAAAACTGTACCCCATATGTGCTACCCCACTATAGCCTACAGTAGCTATGTCATATAAATCTGACACACCCCCATAGGCAAAGTGGGGGAGAACAAGGGGTCACAAGACCAGTCAAGCAAAGCAAAGCAAAGCAAGCTCAGGGTGGATCACAAAGTCACCACACATTCCGAGCACAAGTTCAAGGCCACAAGGCCAGTTCACATGCAGGATTACATATATATATAAGGCTAGACAAGCAAGAGCAGGTGTATATATATATGCAACAGTACAAACAAGGTCAAGGGGTGAGCAAGTGAGTCAAGGTAGGCACAAGACCCAGCTGAGTACAGAAGCGCTGATGATCACAAGGCGCAAGTGCCTTGGTGAAGATATCAGCAGTGTTGGCCTGAGAGGCCACGTACGCAAGCCGCAGCTGACCACGCTGCTGTAGCTCACGAGCAAGGAAGTAGCGGAGAGCAATGTGCTTCGTTCTGTGCTCCAGTCTCTGCTCTCGACACAAGGCCAGCATGGCCTTGTTGTCTACGTACAGCACTGGAGGAGAACGAGGCGGCTCTCCGAGGTCAGTCAGCAGGTAGGTGAGCCAGCGAAGCTCCTGTGCAGCCATGGCCCCGGCGTAGATCTCAGCCTCACAACTGGAGCCGAGAACAGAAGACGAGCGGGTAGCCCGCCACGAAACAGAGCCGGAACCAAGGCTGAAGGTGTAACCCTGTGACGACCGCTGCGTAGCCTGGTCGTCAGCCCAAGAAGCGTCTGCGTGCCCAGTGAGGACCACTGGACTCTGCCCTCCAAGCACAAGCCCCATGCCCGACGTACTGCACAAGTAACGCAACACCCTCTTCGCTGCAGCCATGTGCTCCGGTCTGTGTCTCCCAGGAGCAACATAGCGTGCGAGAATGCTAAGAGGGTATGCGAGGTCAGGTCGTGTGCAGGTCATCAGGTACATGAGGCAGCCAACAAGCTCTGGGTACGGGCCACTCGACTCTACGGACTCATCCGAAGGCAGAGCTGAGAGCGAGTGGCGAGTAGGCAGAGGAGTGGCCTGAGGCGAGGAGTACGTGAAGCCGAAGCGCTGAAGGACCTGCTGCACCATGTGTGACTGAGTCAGGGTAATGGTGCGGCGTGCTCTGTCCCGGGTGACCTGCAAGCCAAGGTAGCTGCGCAGTTCACTTAGGTCTGTGCACGTGTGTCTCTTCTGCAGCTCGGACTTCACGTGGGCGAGTCCAGTAGTGTCAGCTGTGGCAAAGACCAAGTCGTCGACGTACACGAGGATGTAGAACGGCGGCAAAGAAGTGTCGGTGCGCAGAAACAGCGACGGGTCGGCAGTAGAGGGAGCAAACCCAAGAGCCGCAAGTGTAGTCCTCAGTGTGTCGTGCCACTCACGCGGTGCCTGGCGGAGACCGTAGACTGGCCGCCGGAGGCTCCACTGGGTGCCAGGAGGAAAAGACCCAGTGAAGCCAGGTGGGCGACGCAGCCAGATCTCCTCGTGCAGGCTGCCCTGCAAGAAAGCAGTGCTGAAGTCAAGAGAGTGCAGCTCGTAGTCGCGGTGAGCAGCTATGTGCAGCAGTACCCGAAGAGTGGTCATCTTCGGGGTGGGAGAGAAGGTCTGAAAGTAGTCAACTCCCTGCCGCTGATTGAAGCCACGAGCCACGTAACGTGCCTTGAAGACAGGCGGAGAACCCAGCGGTCGCTTCACCCTGAAAATCCACATGCCACTGACGATGTTCGCCCCAGGCGGGGGAACCTCGTCAACGTAGGTGCCTGTGGACTTCCAGGAAGCCATCTCTGTGTCCATAGCTGCCTGCCACTGAGAGGAGTAGGGACCCTCTATCGCCTCCGCGTAAGAGCGCGGAGTCGGGATGTCAAGTGCATCCGGGTCTCCCTCAGGGGTAAGCAGTACGGACACGAGATGAGGTGAAGCAGCAGCCAAACACTGGAACTCCTCCTGCCTGTCCTCAAGGACGTCCGTGCCAAGGGCACACTCACCCCCGACGGACGGAGGACAGACAGACTCAGACGCAACGACAAGACTAGCAGCGTAGTCTAGACGACAGTGAGCAGCAAAGTCGACGAGCTCAGCAACTAGGGCAGACGCAGCAGTGGACTCAAAGGAAGGGTCAGTGACGACAGGGGTGATGGAAAGCGGGAGAATGGGGCGGGGTGATGGAAAGCGGGAGAATGGGGCGAGGTGATGCAAGGAGGGAGAATGGGGCGGGGTGATGGAAAGCGGGAGAACGGGGCGGGTGATGGAAAGCGGGAGAATGGGGCGGGGTGATGGAAAGCGGGAGAATGGATCGGGGTGATGGAAAGCGGGAGAATGGGGCGGGGTGATGGAAAGCGGGAGATTGGGGCGAGGTGATGGAAAGCGGGAGAATTGGGCGGGGTGATGGAAAGCGGGAGAATGGGGAGGGGTGATGGAAAGCGGGAGAATGGGGCGGGGTGATGGAAAGCGGTAGGGGGCGGGGTGATGGAAAGCGGGAGAATGAGGCGAGGTGATGGAAAGCGGGAGAATGGGGTGGGGTGATGGAAAGCGGGTGAATGGGGCGGGGTGATGGAAAGCGGGAGAATGTGGCGGGGTGATGGAAAGCGGGAGAATGGGGCGGGGTGATGGAAGGAGGGAGAATGGGGCGGGATGATGGAAGGAGGGAGAACGGGGTGGGGTGATGGAAAGCGGGAGAATGTGGCGGTGTGATGGAAAGCGGGAGAATGGAGCGGGGTGATGGAAAGCGGGAGAATGGGGCGGGGTGATGGAAAGCGGGAGAATGGGGCGGGGTGATGGAATGCGGGAGAATGGGGCGGGGTGATGGAAAGCGGGAGAATGGGGCGGGGTGATTGAAAGCGGGAGAATGGGGCGGGGTGATGGAAAGCGGGAGAATGGGGCAGGGTTATGGAAAGCGGGAGAATGGGGCGGGGTGATGGAAAGCGGGAGAATGGGGCGGAGTGATGGAAGGAGGGAGAATGGGGCGGGTGATGGAAGGAGGGAGAATGGGGCGGGGTGATGGGGGATGATGGAAGGCGGGAGAATGGGGCGGGGTGATGGAAGGAGGGAGAATGGGGCGGGGTGATGGAAGGAGGGAGAATGGGGCGCGGTGATGGAAGGAGGGAGAATGGGGCGGGGTGATGGAAAGCGGGAGAATGGGGCGGGGTGATGGAAGGAGGGAGAATGGGGCGGGGTGATGGAAGGAGGGGGTGATGGAAAGCGGGAGAATGGGGCGGGTGATGGAAGGAGGGAGAATGGGGCGGGGTGATGGAAAGTGGGAGAATGGGGCGGGGTGATGGAAAGCGGGAGAATGGGGCGGGGTGATGGAAAGCGGGAGAATGGGGCGGGGTGATGGAAAGCGGGAGAATTGGGTGGGGTGATGGAAGGCGGGAGAATGGGGCGGGGTGATGGAAGGAGGGAGAATGGGGCGGGGTGATGGAAGGCGGGAGAATGGGGCGGGGTGATGGTGTTGGTGCAACCCTACGGTTTGCACTCGGCTTGTTGTCCGTGTGCGTGCATGCGTGTGTGCATGGAATGGTATGAGGCCATGGGATAATATATATTTCATGCTTATAATAGTGTGTGAATGCTGAGTCATGATGTCGAGTGTGTGTGTCAAGTCTATAGCGAATTATCGCTAGACGCGTGAAACGCGATCATTTTGTGTGTCCCGCGCGGTCTCTATTTTGTCGTGCACGGCTTCTATTTTGTCGCTTGTCGAACGTTCGGCGTGTCGCAGGTGTGTGCAGCAGACCCATCAAGAACTCAAGGATGAGTTTGTGATGAAGAACCCGAGCCTTGGTTGCAAGCTTCAAGTGATTTCAAAGCTCGCCAAAAAAAAAGGGTACACCTGAAGATATTGAAGATAGTTACATTACTTTGTGTAGTGTAATATTTCAGTTGGTGTAGGCCCTTGTGAAGGGTAGTTTTGAGACCCTTCGTGGTTGGGGACAGTGTGGCACTGTTCCACATCACTGTACCTCGGCTCTTGGGGTTTGTAGGAGCTGGGAGTCATTCCAAACTCGTAACTCTTGCAAACTCTTCCTATCTTGGTTCTAAGACCATTGTGGCTGCCATAGTGCCGTTCGTTCAAACCGACGCTGTGTCGTCAATTCTTGATGAAATCGTGCGATCTAAATTGCCTATTGTAGGCAACGTTAAGGCGCTCCAGATCGAAGTTGAATGAAGTCATTTGGATTGTGAGCAGATCGCTATGAACGTTTAAAGCCGTTGTGCAGAAATCCGACTGTGCACTCTATCTTTCGTTTTAGGCACATTGGAGCCTACTGTGACTATAACAGATGGAAAGCGGGAGAATGGGGCGGGGTGATGGAAAGAGGGAGAATGGGGCGCGGTGATGGAAAGCGGGAGAATGGGGCAGGGTGATGGAAAGCGGGAGAAAAGGGCGGGGTGATGGAAAGCGGGAGAATGGGGCGGGGTGATGGAAAGCGGGAGAATGGGGCAGGGTGATGGAAAACGGGAGAATGGGGCGGGGTGATGGAAAGCGGGAGAATGGGGCGGGGTGATGGAAAGCGGGAGAATGGGGCGGGGTGATGGAAGGAGGGAGAATGGGGCGGGGTGATGGAATCAGGGAGAATGGGGCGGGGTGATGGAAAGCGGGAGAATGGGGCGGGATGATGGAAGGAGGGAGAATGGGGCGGGGTGATGGAAAGCGGGAGAATGGGGCGGGGTGATGGAAAGCGGGAGAATGGGGTGGGGTGATGGAAGGCGGGAGAATGGGGCAGGGTGATGGAAGGAGGGAGAATAGGGCGGGCTGATGGAAGGAGGGAGAATGGGGCGGGATGATGGAAGGAGGGAGAATGGGGCGGGGTGATGGAAAGCGGGAGAACGGGGCGGGGTGATGGAAAGCGGGAGAATGTGGCGGGGTGATGGAAGGAGGGAGAATGGGGCGGGGTGAAGGAAAGCAGGAGAATGGGGCGGGGTGATGGAAAGCGGGAGAATGGGGCGGGGTGATGGAAAGCGGGAGAATGGGGCGGGGTGATGGAAAGCGGAAGAATGGGGCGGGGTGATGGAAGGAGGGAGAATGGGGCGGGGTGATGGAAGGAGGGAGAATGGGGCGGGGTGATGGAAAGCGGGAGAATGGGGCGGGGTTATGGAAAGCGGGAGAATGGTGCGGGGTGATGGAAAGCGGGAGAATGGTGCGGGGTGATGGAAAGCGGGAGAATGGGGCAGGATGATGGAAAGCGGGAGAAAAGGGCGGGGTGATAGAAAGCGGGAGAATGGGGCGGGGTGATGGAATGCGGGAGAATGGGGCGGGGTGATGGAAGGAGGGAGAATGGGGCGGGGTGATGGAATCAGGGAGAATGGGGCGGGGTGATGGAAAGCGGGAGAATGGGGCGGGGTGATGGAAAGAAAGGGAATGGGGCGGGGTGATGGAAGGAGGGAGAATGGGGTGGGGTGATGGAAGGAGGGAGAATGGGGCGGGGTGATGGAAAGCGGGAGCATGAGAGAGGGAAGGCATGAGAGGGGGAAGGCATGAGAGGGGGGAGGCATGAGAGGGGGAAGGCATGAGAGGGGGAAGGCATGAGAGGGGGAAGGCATGAGAGGGGGAAGGCATGAGAGGGGGAAGGCATGAGAGGGGGAAGGCATGAGAGGGGGAAGGCATGAGAGGGGGAAGGCATGAGAGGGGGAAGGCATGAGAGGGGGAAGGCATGAGAGGGGGAAGGCATGAGAGGGGGAAGGCATGAGAGGGGGAAGGCACGAGAGGGGGAAGGCACGAGAGGGGGAAGGCACGAGAGGGGGATGGAATGAGAGGGGGAAGGCATGAGAGGGGGAAGGCATGAGAGGGGGAAGGCATGAGAGGGGGAAGGCATGAGAGGGGGAAGGCATGAGAGGTGGAAGGCATGAGAGGGGGAAGGCATGAGAGGGGGAAGGCATGAGAGGGGGAAGGCATGAGAGGGGGAAGGCATGAGAGGGGGAAGGCATGAGAGGGGGCAGGCATGAGAGGGGGAAGGCATGAGAGGGGGAAGGCATGAGAGGGGGAAGGCATGAGAGGGGGAAGGCATGAGAGGGGGAAGGCATGAGAGGGGGAAGGCATGAGAGGGGGAAGGCATGAGAGGGGGAAGGCACGAGAGGGGGAAGGCACGAGAGGGGGAAGGCACGAGAGGGGGATGGAATGAGAGGGGGAAGGCATGAGAGGGGGAAGGCATGAGAGGGGGAAGGCATGAGAGGGGGAAGGCATGAGAGGGGGAAGGCATGAGAGGTGGAAGGCATGAGAGGGGGAAGGCATGAGAGGGGGAAGGCATGAGAGGGGGAAGGCATGAGAGGGGGAAGGCATGAGAGGGGGAAGGCATGAGAGGGGGCAGGCATGAGAGGGGGAAGGCATGAGAGGGGGAAGGCATGAGAGGGGGAAGGCATGAGTGGGGGAAGGCATGAGAGGGGGAAGGCATGAGAGGGGGAAGGCATGAGAGGGGGAAGGCATGAGAGGGGGAAGGCATGAGAGGGGGAAGGCATGAGAGGGGGAAGGCATGAGAGGGGGAAGGCATGAGAGGGGGAGGGCATGAGAGGGGGAGGGAATGAGAGGGGGAGGGCATGAGAGGGGGAGGGCATGAGAGGGGGAGGGCATGAGAGGGGGAGGGCATGAGAGGGGGAGGGCATGATAGGGGGAAGGCATGAGAGGGGGAAGGCATGAGAGGGGGAAGGCATGAGAGGGGGAAGGCATGAGAGGGGGAAGGCATGAGAGGGGGAAGGCATGAGAGGGGGAAGGCTTGAGAGGGGGAAGGCATGAGAGGGGGAAGGCATGAGAGGGGGAAGGCATGAGAGGGGGAAGGCATGAGAGGGGGAAGGCATGAGAGGGGGAAGGCATGAGAGGGGGAAGGCATGAGAGGGGGAAGGCATGAGAGGGGGAAGGCATGAGATGGGGAAGGCATGAGAGGGGGAAGGCATGAGAGGGGGAAGGCATGAGAGGGGGAAGGCATGAGAGGGGGAAGGCATGAGAGGGGGAAGGCATGAGAGGGGGAAGGCATGAGAGGGGGAAGGCATGAGAGGGGGAAGGCATGAGAGGGGGAAGGCATGAGAGGGGGAAGGCATGAGAGGGGGAGGGCATGAGAGGGGGAGGGAATGAGAGGGGGAGGGCATGAGAGGGGGAGGGCATGAGAGGGGGAGGGCATGAGAGGGGGAGGGCATGAGAGGGGGAGGGCATGATAGGGGGAAGGCATGAGAGGGGGAAGGCATGAGAGGGGGAAGGCATGAGAGGGGGAAGGCATGAGAGGGGAAAGGCATGAGAGGGGGAAGGCATGAGAGGGGGAAGGCATGAGAGGGGGAAGGCATGAGAGGGGGAAGGCATGAGAGGGGGAAGGCATGAGAGGGGGAAGGCATGAGAGGGGGAAGGCATGAGAGGGGGAGGGCATGAGAGGGGGAGGGAATGAGAGGGGGAGGGCATGAGAGGGGGAGGGCATGAGAGGGGGAGGGCATGAGAGGGGGAGGGCATGAGAGGGGGAGGGCATGAGAGGGGGAAGGCATGAGAGGGGGAAGGCATGAGAGGGGGAAGGCATGAGAGGGGGAAGGCATGAGAGGGGGAAGGCATGAGAGGGGGAAGGCATGAGAGGGGGAAGGCACGAGAGGGGGAAGGCACGAGAGGGGGAAGGCACGAGAGGGGGATGGAATGAGAGGGGGAAGGCATGAGAGGGGGAAGGCATGAGAGGGGGAAGGCATGAGAGGGGGAAGGCATGAGAGGGGGAAGGCATGAGAGGTGGAAGGCATGAGAGGGGGAAGGCATGAGAGGGGGAAGGCATGAGAGGGGGAAGGCATGAGAGGGGGAAGGCATGAGAGGGGGAAGGCATGAGAGGGGGCAGGCATGAGAGGGGGAAGGCATGAGAGGGGGAAGGCATGAGAGGGGGAAGGCATGAGAGGGGGAAGGCATGAGAGGGGGAAGGCATGAGAGGGGGAAGGCATGAGAGGGGGAAGGCATGAGAGGGGGAAGGCATGAGAGGGGGAAGGCATGAGAGGGGGAAGGCATGAGAGGGGGAAGGCATGAGAGGGGCAAGGCATGAGAGGGGCAAGGCATGAGAGGGGGAAGGCATGAGAGGGGGAAGGCATGAGAGGGGGAATGTGTGAGATTACCACATATGTTTTGCATTTCCTTTACAGTATACCATTCCCCACCCCTCTAATAGGTTCTAACCTTTTGGATATCTGTAATTCGCCAAAAATATGCATTCTCGTCGTACATGGTACCTCCACAACAGGCACGCATACCGACCAAACTGACCAGCGCATTACGTATGTTTGTAGAGATGCAGTTAGAAACCATATTCCTGCCTGGTCCAAGAGCTTGCCTGGTCCAGGAGCTTGCCTAGTCCAAGAGCTTGCCTGGTCCAGGAGCTTGTATGGTTAGGAGCTTGCCTAGTCCAAGAGCTTGCCTGGTCAAAGAGCTTGCCTGGTCCAGGAGCTTGCCTGGTCCAAGAGCTTGCCTGGTCCAAGAGCTAGCCTGGTCCAGGAGCTTGTCTGGTCCAGGAGCTTGCCTGGTCCAGGAGCTTGCCTGTTCCAGGAGATTGCCTGGTCCAGGAGCTTGCCTGGTCCAAGAGCGTGCCTGGTCCAGGAGCTTGCATGGTCCACGAGCTTGCCTGGTCCAGGAGCTTGCCTGGTCCAGGAGCTTGCCTGGTCCATGAGCGTGCCTGGTCCAGGAGCTTGCCTGGTCCAGGAGCTTGCATGGTCCTGGAGCTTGCCTGGTCCAGGAGATTTCCTGGTCCAGGAGCTTGCCTGGACCAGGAGCTTGCCTGGTCCAGGAGCTTGCCTGGTCCAGGAGCTTGCCAGGTCCAGGAGCTTGCCTGGTCCAGGAGCGTGCCTGGTCCAGGAGCGTGCCTGGTCCAGGAGCTTGCCTGGTCCAAGAGCGTGCCTGGTCCAGGAGCTTGCCTGGTCCAGCAGCTTGCATGGTCCAGGAGCTTGCCTGGTGAAGGAGCTTGCCTGGTCCACGAGCTTGCCAGGTCCAGGAGTGTGCCTGGTCCAGGAGTGTGCCTGGTCCAGGAGCTTGCCTGGTCCAGGAGCTTGCCTAGTCCAGGAGCTTGCCTGGTCCAAGAGCTTGCCTGGTCCAGGAGCTTGCCTCGTCCAGGAGCTTGCCTGGTCCAGGACCTTGCCTGGTCCAAGAGCTTGCCTGGTCCGAGAGATTGCCTGGTCCAGGAGCTTTCCTGGTCCAAGAGCTTGCCTGGTCCAAGAGCTTGCCTGGTCCAGGAGCTTGCCTGGTCCAGGAGCTTGCCTGGTCCAGGAGCTTGCCTCGTCCAGGAGCGTGCCTGGTCCAGGAGCGTGCCTGGTCCAAGAGCTTGCCTGGTCCAGGAGCTTGCCTGGTGAAGGAGCTTGCCTGGTCCAGGAGCATGCCTGGTCCAGGAGCTTGCCTGGTCCAGCAGCTTGCCTGGTCCAGGAGCTTGCCTGGTGAAGGAGCTTGCCTGGTCCAGGAGCTTGCCTGGTCCAGGAGCGTGCCTGGTCCAGGAGTGTGCCTGGTCCAGGAGCTTGCCTGGTCCAGGAGCTTGCCTGGTCCAGGAGCTTGCCTGGTCCAAGAGCTTGCCTGGTCCAAGAGCTTGCCTAGTCCAGGAGCTTGCCTCGTCCAGGAGCTTGCCTGGTCTAGGAGCTTGCCTGGTCCAGGAGCGTGCCTGGTCCAGGAGCTTGCCTAGTCCAGGAGCTTGCCTGGTCTTGGAGCTTGTCTGGTCCAGGAGCTTGCCCGGTCCAGGAGCGTGCCTGGTCCAGGAGGTTGCCAGGTCCAGGAGCTTGCTTGGTCCAGGAGCTTGCCTGGTCCAGGGGCTTGCCTGGTCCAGGAGCTTTCCTGGTCCAGGAGCTTACCTGGTCCAGGCGCTTGCATGTTCCAGGAGCCTGCCTGGTCCAGGAGCTTGCCTGGTCCAAGAGCTTGCCTGGTCCAGGAGCGTACCTGGTCCAAGAGCTTGCCTGGTCCAGAAGCTTGCCTGGTCCAGGAGCTTGCCTGGTCCAGGAGCTTGCCTGGTCCAGGAGCTTGCCTGGTCCAGGAGCATGCCTGGTCCAGCAGCTTGCCTGGTCCAGGAGCTTGCCTAGTCCAGGAGCTTGCCTGGTCTAGGAGCTTGCCTGGTCCAGGAGCGTGCCTGGTCCAGGAGCTTGCCTGGTCCAGGAGCTTGCCTGGTCCAGGAGCTTGCCTGGTCCAGGAGCTTGCCTGTTCAGGAGCTTGCCTGGTCCAGGAGCTTGCCTGGTCCAGAAGCTTGCCTGGTCCAGGAGCTTGCCTGGTCCAAGAGCTTGCCTGGTCCAAGAGCTTGCCTGATCCATGAGCTTGCCTGGTCCAAGAGCTTGCCTGGTCCAAGAGCTTGCCTGGTCCAAGAGCTTGCCTGGTCCAGAAGCTTGCCTGGTCCAGGAGCTTGCCTGGTCCAGGAGCTTGCCTGGTCCAAGAGCTTTCCTGGTCCAGGAGCTTGCCTGGTCCAGGAGCATGCCTGGTCCAGCAGCTTGCCTGGTCCAGGAGCTTGCCTAGTCCAGGAGCTTGCCTGGTCTAGGAGCTTGCCTGGTCCAGGAGCGTGCCTGGTCCAGGAGCTTGCCTGGTCCAGGAGCTTGCCTGGTCCAGGAGCTTGCCTGGTCCTGGAGCTTGCCTGTTCAGGAGCTTGCCTGGTCCAGGAGCTTGCCTGGTCCAGGAGCTTGCCTGGTCCAGGAGCGTGCCTGGTCCTGGAGTGTGCCTGGTCCAGGAGCTTGCCTGGTCCAGGAGCTTGCCTGGTCCAGGAGCTTGCCTGGTCCAGGAGCTTGCCTAGTCCAAGAGCTTGCCTGGTCCAAGAGCTTGCCTGGTCCAGGAGCTTGCCTGGTCCAGGAGCTTGCCTGGTCCAGGAGCGTGCCTGGTCCAGGAGCTTGCCTTGTCCAGGAGCCTGCCTGGTCCAAGAGCTTGCCTGGTCCAGGAGCTTGCCTGGTCCAAGAGCTTGCCTGGTCCAGGAGCTTGCCTGGTCCAGGAGCTTGTGTGGTCCAGGACCTTGCCTGGTCCAGGAGCTTGCCTGGTTAGGAGCTTGCCTAGTCCAAGAGCTTGCCTAGTCAAAGAGCTTGCCTGGTGCAGGAGCTTGCCTGGTCCAAGAGCTTGCCTGGTCCAAGAGCTAGCCTGGTCCAGGAGCTTGCCTGGTCCAGGAGCGTGCCTAGTCGAGGATCTTGCCTGGTCCAGGATCTTGCTTGGTCCAGGAGCGTGCCTGGTCCAGGAGATTGCCTGGTCCAGGAGCTTGCCTGGTGCAGGAGCTTGCCTGGTCCAGGAGCTTGCCAGGTCCAGGAGCTTGCCTGGTCCAGGAGCGTGCCTGGTCCAGGTGCGTGCCTGGTCCAGGAGCTTGCCTAGTCCAGGAGCGTGCCTGGTCCAGGAGCTTGCCTGGTCCAGCAGCTTGCCTGGTCCTGGAGCTTGCCTGGTGAAGGAGCTTGCCTGGTCCAGGAGCTTGCCTGGTCCAGGAGTGTGCCTGGTCCACGAGTGTGCCTGGTCCAGGAGCTTGCCTGGTCCAGGAGCTTGCCTAGTCCAGGAGCTTGCCTGGTCCAAGAGCTTGCCTGGTCCAAGAGCTTGCCTGGTCCAGGAGCTTGCCTGGTCCAGGAGCTTGCCTCGTCCAGGAGCTTGCCTGGTCTAGGACCTTGCCTGGTCCAAGAGCTTGCCTGGTCCAAGAGCTTGCCTAGTCCAGGAGCTTTCCTGGTCCAAGAGCTTGCCTTGTCCAAGAGCTTGCCTGGTCCAGGAGCTTGCCTGGTCCAGGAGCTTGCCTGATCCAGGAGCGTGCCTGGTCCAGGAGCGTGCCTGGTCCAGGAGCTTGCCTGGTCCAGGAGCTTGCTTGGTCCAGGAGCTTGCCTGGTCCAGGAGCATGCCTGGTCCAGGAGCTTGCCTGGTCCAGCAGCTTGCCTGGTCCAGGAGCTTGCCTGGTGAAGGAGCTTGCCTGGTCCAGGAGCTTGCCTGGTCCAGGAGCGTGCCTGGTCCAGGAGTGTGCCTGGTCCAGGAGCTTGCCTGGTTAAGGAGCTTGCCTGGTCCAGGAGCTTGCCTGGTCCAAGAGCTTGCCTGGTCCAAGAGCTTGCCTGGTCCAGGAGCTTGTCTGGTCCAGGAGCTTGCCTGGTCCAGGAGCGTGCCTGGTCCACGAGCTTGCCTGGTCCAGGAGCTTGCCTGGTCCAGGAGCTTGCTTGGTCCAGGAGCTTGCCTGGTCCAGGAGCATGCCTGGTCCAGGAGCTTGCCTGGTCCAGCAGCTTGCCTGGTCCAGGAGCTTGTCTGGTGAAGGAGCTTGCCTGGTCCAGGAGCTTGCCTGGTCCAGGAGCTTGCCTGGTCCAGGAGCATGCCTGGTCTAGGAGCTTACCTGGTCCAGCTGCTTGCCTGGTCCAGGAGCTTGCCTGGTGAAGGAGCTTGCCTGGTCCAGGAGCTTGCCTGGTCCAGGAGCTTGCCTGGTCCAGGAGCGTGCCTGGTCCAGGAGCGTGCCTGGCCCAGGAGCCTGCCTGGTCCAGGAGCTTGCCTGGTCCAGGAGCTTGCCTGGTCCTGGAGCTTGCCTGGTCCAGCAGCTTGCCTGGTCCAAGAGATTGCCTGGTCCAGGAGCTTGCCTGGTCCAGGAGCGTGCCTGGTCCAGGAGTGTGCCTGGGCCAGGAGCTTGCCTGGTCCAGGAGCTTGCCTGGTCCAGGAGCTTGCCTGGTCCAGGAGCTTGCGTGGTCCAAGAGCTTGCCTGGTCCAAGAGCTTGCCTGGTCTAGGAGCTTGCCTGGTCCAAGAGCTTGCCTGGTCCAGGAGCTTGCCTGGTCCAGGAGCTTGCCTGGTCCAGGAGCTTGCCTGGTCCAGGAGCGTGCCTGGTCCAGGAGCGTGGCTGGTCCAGGAGCTTGCCTGGTCCAGGAGCTTGCCTGGTCCAGCAGCTTGCCTGGTCCAGGAGCATGCGTGGTCCAGGAGCTTGCCTGGTCCAGCAGCTTGCCTGGTCCAGGAGCTTGCCTGGTGAAGGAGCTTGCCTGGTCCAAGAGCTTGCCTGGTCCAGGAGCGTGCCTGGTCCAGGAGTGTGCCTAGTCCAGGAGCTTGCCTGGACCAGGAGCTTGCCTGGTCCAAGAGCTTGCCAGGTCCAAGAGCTTGCCTGGTCCAGGAGCTTGCCTGGTCCAAGAGCTTGCCTGGTCCAAGAGCTTGCCTGGTCTAGGAGCTTGCCTGGTCCAGGAGCTTGCCTGGTCCAGGAGCTTGCCTGGTCCAGGAGCTTGCCTCGTCCAGGAGCTTGCCTGGTCCAGGAGCTTGCCTGTTCCAGGAGCGTGCCTGGTCCAGGAGCTTGCCAAGTCCAGGAGCTTGCTTGGTCCAGGAGCTTGCCTGGTCCAGGAGCTTTCCTGGTCCAAGAGCTTGCCTGGTCCAGGAGCTTGCCTGGTCCAGGAGCTTGCATGTTCCAGGAGCTTGCCTGGTCCAGGAGCTTGCCTGGTCCAAGAGCTTGCCTGGTCTAGGAGGGTGCCTGCTCCAAGAGCTTGCCTGGTCCAGAAGCTTGCCTGGTCCAGGAGCTTGCCTGGTCCAGGAGCTTGCCTGGTCCAGGAGCATGCCTGGTCCAGGAGCTTGCCTGGTCCAGCAGCTTGCCTGGTCCAGGAGCTTGCCTGGTGAAGGAGCTTGCCTGGTCTAGGAGCTTGCCTGGTCCAGGAGCTGGCCTGGTCCAAGAGCTTGCCTGGTCCAGGAGCTTGCCTGGTCCAGGAGCTTGCCTGGTCCAAGAGCTTGCCTGGTCCAAGAGCTCGCCTGGTCCAGGAGCTTGCCTGGTCCAAGAGCTTGCCTGGTCCAGGAGCTGAGGTTGCCTGGTCCAGGAGCTTGCGTGGTCCAGGAGCTTGCCTGGTCCAGGAGCATGCCTGGTCCAACAGCTTGCCTGGTCCAGGAGCTTGCCTAGTGAAGGAGCTTGCCTGGTCCAGGAGCTTGCCTGGTCTAGGAGCGTGCCTGGTCCAGGAGTGTGCCTGGTCTAGGAGCTTGCCTGGTCCACGAGCTTGCTCGGTCCAGGAGCTTGCCAGGTTCAGGAGCTTGCCTTGTCCAGGAGCTTGCCTGGTCCAAGAGCTTGCCTGGTCCAAGAGCTTGCCTAGTCCAGGAGCTTGCCTGGTCCAAGAGATTGCCTGGTCCAAGAGCTTGCCTGGTCCAAGAGCTTGCCTGGTCCAGGATCTTGCCTGGTCCAGGAGCTTGCCTGGTCCAGGAGCTTGCCTGGTCCAGAAGCGTACCTGGTCCAGGAGCTTGCCTGGTCCAGGAGCTTGCCTGGTCCAGGAGCTTGCCTGGTCTAGGAGCTTGCCTGGTCCAGGAGCGTGCCTGGTCCAGGAGCTTGCCTGGTCCAGGAGCTTGCCTGGTCCAGGAGCTTGCCTGGTCCAGGAGCTTGCCTGGTCCAGGAGCTTTCCTGGTTCAAGAGCTTGCCTGGTCCAGGAGCTTGCCTGGTCCAGGAGCTTGTATGTTCCAGGAGCTTGCCTGGTCCTGGAGCTTGCCTGGGCGACGAGCTTGCGTGGTCCAGGAGTGTGCCTGGTCCAAGAGCTTGCCTGGTCCAGAAGCTTGCCTGGTCCAGGATCTTGCCTGGTCCAGGAGCTTGCCTGGTCCAGGAGCTTGCCTGGTCCAGGAGCTTGCCTGGTCCAAGAGCTTGCCTGGTCCAGGAGCTTGCCTGGTCCAAGAGCTTGCCTGGTCCAAGAGCTTGCCTGGTCCAAGAGCTTGCCTGGTCTAGGAGCTTGCCTGGTCCAAGAGCTTGCCTGGTCCAGGAGCTTGCCTAGTCCAGGAGCTTGCCTGGTCCAGGAGCTTGCCTGGTCCAGGAGCTTGCCTGGTCCAGGAGCTTGCCTGGTCTAGGAGCTTGCCTGGTCCAGGAGCTTGCCTGGTCCAGGAGCTTGCCTGGTCCAGGAGCTTGCCTGGTCCAGGAGCTTGCCTGGTCTAGGATCTTGCCTGTTCAGGAGCTTGCCTGGTCCAGGAGCTTGCGTGGTCCAGGAGCTTGCCTGGTCCAGGAGCTTGCCTGGTTCAAGAGCTTGCCTGGTCCAGGAGCTTTCCTGGTCCAAGAGCTTGCCTGGGCCAGGAGCTTGCCTGGTCCAGGAGCTTGCCTGGTCTAGGAGCTTGCCTAGTCCATGAGCGTGCCTGGTACAGGAGCTTGCCTGGTCCAGGAGCTTGCCTGGTCCAGGAGCATGCCTGGTCCAGGATCTTGCCTGGTCCAGGAGCGTGCCTGGTCCAAGAGCTTGCCTGGTCCTGGAGCTTGCCTGGTCCAGGAGCTTGCCTGGTCCAGGTGCTTGCCTGGTATAGAAGCTTGCCTGGTCCAGGAGCTTGCCTGGTCCAGGAGCTTGCCTGGTCCAGGAGCGTACCTGGTCCAGGAGCTTGCCTGGTCCAGGAGCTTGCCTGGTCTAGGAGCTTGCCTGGTCCAGGAGCGTGCCTGGTCCAGGAGCTTGCCTGGTCCAGGAGCTTGCCTGGTCCAGGAGCTTGCCTAGTCCAGAAGCTTGCCTGGTCCAGGAGCTTGCCTGGTCTAGGAGCTTGCCTAGTCCATGAGCGTGCCTGGTACAGGAGCTTGCCTGGTCCAGGAGCTTGCCTGGTCCAGGAGCATGCCTGGTCCAGGATCTTGCCTGGTCCAGGAGCGTGCCTGGTCCAAGAGCTTGCCTGGTCCTGGAGCTTGCCTGGTCCAGGAGCTTGCCTGGTCCAGGTGCTTGCCTGGTATAGAAGCTTGCCTGGTCCAGGAGCTTGCCTGGTCCAGGAGCTTGCCTGGTCCAGGAGCGTACCTGGTCCAGGAGCTTGCCTGGTCCAGGAGCTTGCCTGGTCTAGGAGCTTGCCTGGTCCAGGAGCGTGCCTGGTCCAGGAGCTTGCCTGGTCCAGGAGCTTGCCTGGTCCAGGAGCTTGCCTGGTCCAGGAGCTTTCCTGGTTCAAGAGCTTGCCTGGTCCAGGAGCTTGCCTGGTCCAGGAGCTTGTATGTTCCAGGAGCTTGCCTGGTCCTGGAGCTTGCCTGGGCGAAGAGCTTGCGTGGTCCAGGAGCGTGCCTGGTGCAAGAGCTTGCCTGGTCCAGGATCTTGCCTGGTCCAGGAGCTTGCTTGGTCCAGGAGCTTGCCTGGTCCAGGAGCTTGCCTGGTCCAAGAGCTTGCCTGGTCCAGGAGCTTGCCTGGTACGAGAGCTTGCCTGGTCCAAGAGCTTGCCTGGTCCAAGAGCTTGCCTGGTCTAGGAGCATGCCTGGTCCAAGAGCTTGCCTGGTCCAGGAGCTTGCCTAGTCCAGGAGCTTGCCTTTTCCAGGAGCTTGCCTGGTCCAGGAGCTTGCCTGGTCCAGGATCTTGCCTGGTCCAGGATCTTGCCTAGTCCTGGAGCGTGCCTGGTCCAGGAGATTGCCTGGTCCAGGAGCTTGCCTGGTCGAGGAGCTTGCCTGGTCCAAGAGCTTGCCTGGTCAAGAGCTTGCCAGGTCCAGGAGCTTGCATGGTCCAAGAGCTTGCCAGGTCCAAGAGCTTGCCTGGTCCAGGAGCTTGCCTGGTCCAGGAGCTTGCCTGGTCCAGGAGCTTGCCTGGTCCAGGAGCTGGCCTGGTCCACGAGCTTGCTTGGTCCAGGAGCTTGCCTGGCCAGGAGCTTGCCTGGTCTAGGAGCTTGCCTGGTCCAGGAGCTTGCCTGGTCCAGGAGCTTGCCTGGTCCAGGAGCCTGGTCCAGGAGCTTGCCTGGTCCACGATATTGCCTGTTCAGGAGCTTGCCTGGTCCAAGAGCTTGCGTGGTCCAGGAGCTTGCCCTTCCATCACCCCGCCCCATTCTCCCTCCTTCCATCACCCCGCCCCATTCTCCCGCCTTCCATCATCCCCCATCACCCCGCCCCATTCTCCCTCCTTCCATCACCCCGCCCCATTCTCCCTCCTTCCATCACCCCGCCCCATTCTCCCGCTTTCCATCACCCCGCCCCATTCTCCCACTTTCCATCACCCCGCCCCATTCTCCCGCTTTCCATCACCCCGCCCTTTTCTCCCGCTTTCCATCACCCCGCCGCATTCTCCCGCTTTCCATCACCCGCCGCATTCTCCCGCTTTCCATAACCCCGCCCCAATCTGCCTCCTTCCATCACCCCGCCCCATTCTCCCTCCTTCCATCACCCCGCCCCATTCTCCCGCTTTCCATCACCCCGCCCCATTATCCCGCTTTCCTTCACCCCGCCCCATTCTCCCTCCTTCCATCACCCCGCACCATTCTCCCGTTTCCATAACCCCGCCCCATTCTCCCGCTTTCCATCACCCCGCCCCATTCTCCCGTTTTCCATCACCCCGCCCCATTCTCCCTCCTTCCATCACCCCGCCCCATTCTCCCTCCTTCCATCACCCCGCCCCATTCTCCCGCTTTCCATCACCCCGCCCCATTCTCCCGCTTTCCATCACCCCGCCCCATTCTCCCGCTTTCCTTCACCCCGCCCCATTATCCCTCCTTCCATCACCCCGCCACATTCTCCCGCTTTCCATCACCCCGCCCCATTCTCCCGCTTTCCATCACCTCGCCCCATTCTCCCTCCTTCCATCACCCCGCCCCATTCTCCCTCCTTCCATCATCCCGCCCCATTCTCCCTCCTTCCATCACCCCGCTCCATTCTCCCGCCTTCCATCACCCCCCATCACCCCGCCCTATTCTCCCTCCTTCCATCACCCTGCCCCATTCTCCCTCCTTCCATCACCCCGCCCCATTCTCCCGCATTCCATCACCCCGCCCCATTCTCCCGCTTTCCTTTACCCCGCCCCATTCTCCCGCTTTCCATCACCCCTCCCCATTCTACCGCTTTCCATCACCCCGCCCCATTCTCCCGCTTTCCATCACCCCGCCCCATTCTCCCGCTTTCCATCACCCCGCCCCATTCTCCCTCCTTTCATCACCCCGCCCCATTCTCCCTCCTTCCATCACCCCGCCCCATTCTCCCACTTTCCATCACCCCGCCCCATTCTCCCTCCTGCCATCACCACGCCCCATTCTCCCTCCTTCCATCACCCCGCCCCATTCTCTTTCTTTCCATCACCCCGCCCCATTTTCCCGCTTTCCATCACCCGCCCCATTCTCCCTCCTTCCATCACCCCGCCCCATTCTCCCTCCTTCCATCTCCCCGCCCCATTCTCCCGCTTTCCATCACCCCGCCCCATTCTCCCGCTTTCCCTCACCCCGCCCCATTCTCCCGCTCTCCATTACCCCGCCCCATTCTCCCGCTTTCCATCACCCCGCCCCATTCTCCCGCTTTCCATCACCCTGCCCCATTCTCCCGCTTTCCATCACCCCGCCCCATTCTCCCGCTTTCCATCACCCCGCCCCATTCTCCCGCTTTCCATCACCCCGCTCCATTCTCCCGCCTTCCATCACCCCGCCCCATTCTCCCTCCTTCCATCACCCCTCCCCATTCTCCCGCCTTCCATCACCCCACCCAATTCTCCCGCTTTCCATCACCCCGCCCCATTCTCCCGCTTTCGATCACCCCGCCCCATTCTCCCGCTTTCCATCACCCCGCCCCATTCTCCCGCTTTCCATCACCCCGCCCCATTCTCTTACTTTCCATCACCCCGCCCCATTCTCCCTCCTTCCATCACCCCGCCCCATTCTCCCGCTTTCCATCACCCCACCCCATTCTCCCTCCTTCCATCACCCCGCCCCATTCTCCCTCCTTCCATCACCCCGCCCCATTCTCCTGCTTTCCATCACCCCGCCCCATTCTCCCTCCTTCCATCACCCCGCCCCATTCTCCCTCCTTCCATCACCCGCCCCATTCTCCCCCCTTCCATCATCCCGCCCCATTCTCCCTCCTTCCATCACCCCGCTCCATTCTCCCGCCTTCCATCACCCCCCATCACCCCGCCCCATTCTCCCTCCTTCCATCACCCTGCCCCATTCTCCCTCCTTCCATCACCCCGCCCCATTCTCCCGCATTCCATCACCCCGCCCCATTCTCCCGCTTTCCTTTACCCCGCCCCATTCTCCCGCTTTCCATCACCCCTCCCCATTCTCCCGCTTTCCATCACCCCGCCCCATTCTCCCGCTTTCCATCACCCCGCCCCATTCTCCCGCTTTCCATCACCCCGCCCCATTCTCCCTCCTTTCATCACCCCGCCCCATTCTCCCTCCTTCCATCACCCCGCCCCATTCTCCCGCTTTCCATCACCCCGCCCCATTCTCCCGCTTTCCATCACCCCGCCCCATTCTCCTGCTTTCCATCACCCCGCCCCATTCTCCCGCTTTCCATCACCCCGCCCCATTCTCCCGCTTTCCATCACCCCGCCCTTTTCTCCCGCTTTCCATCACCCTGCCCCATTCTCCCGCCATCCAACGACCCGAATATTGTTGCATATTTGGTTGGCCCATGTTCAAATACACCTACCAGAGCAACTTCAGCTTGGTTCGCGCGTACAGAAAAGTTCGGCGCCCGCGACGTCGGCCGTGCCTGCACACAAATGCTAAGGAAGCGCACGGATCCCTATAGGCGTAGGGAAAAGCATCCAACGACCCGAATATTGTTGCATATTCGGGTGGCCCATGTTCAAATACACCTAGCAATGCAACTTCAGCTTGGTTCGCGTGCACAGAAAAGTTCGGCGCCCGCGACGTCGGCCGTGCCTGCACACAAATGCTAAGGAAGCACACGGATCCCTATAGGCGTAGGGAAAAGCATCCAACGACCCGAATATTGTTGCATATTCGGGTGGCCCATGTTCAAATACACCTACCAGAGCAACTTCAGCTTGGTTCGCGCGCACAGAATAGTTCGGCGCCCGCGACGACGGCCGTGCCTGCCCACAAATGCTAAGGAAGCGCACGGATCCCTATAGGCGTAAGGAAAAGCATCCAGCGACACAAATATTGTTGCATATTGGGGTGGCCTATGTTCAAATACACCTATCAGAGCAACTTCAGCTTGGTTCGCGAGAACAGAATAGTTCGACGCCCGCGACGACGGCCGTGCCTGCACACAAATGCTAAGGAAGCTCACGGATCCCTATAGGCGTAAGGAAAAGCGTCCAGCGACACAAATATTGATGCATATTGGGGTGGCCCATGTTCAAATACACCTATCAGAGCAACTTCAGCTTGGTTCGCGAGAACAGAATAGTTCGGCGCCCGCGACGACGGCCGTGCCTGCTCACAAATGCTAAGGAAGCTCACAGATCCCTATAGGCATAAGGAAAAGCGTCCAAAGACCCGGATATTGTTGCATATTCGGGTATCCCATGTTCAAATACACCTACCAGAGCAACTTCAGCTTGGTTCGCGCGCACATAAAAGTTGGGCGCCCGCGACGTCAGCTGTGCCTGCCCCCAAATGCTAAGGAAGCGCACGGATCCCTATAGGCGTAAGGAAAAGCATCCAAGGACCCGAATATTGTTGCATATTAGGGTATCCCAGGTTCAAATACACCTACCAGAGCAACTTCAGCTTGGTTCGCGCGCACAGAAAAGTTCGGCGCCCGCGACGACGGCCGTGCCTGCCCGCAAATGCTAAGGAAGCGCACGGATCCCTATAGGCGTAGGGGAAAGCATCCAACGACCCGGATATTGTTGCATATTCAAATGGCCCATGTTCAAATACACCTACCAGAGCAACTTCAGCTTGGTTCGCGCGCACAGAAAAGTTCGGCGCCCGCGACGACGGCCGTGCCTGCCCCCAAATGCTAAGGAAGCGCACGGATCCCTATAGGCGTAGGGGAAAGCATCCAACGACCCGGATATTGTTGCATATTCAGATGGCCCATATTCAAATACACCTATCAGAGCAACTTCAGCTTGGTTCGCGCGCACAGAAAAGTTCGGCGCCCGCGACATCGGCCGTGCCTGCCCCCAAATGCTAAGGAAGCGCACGGATCCCTATAGGCGTAAGGAAAAGCATCCAACGACCCGAATATTGTTGCATATTCGGGTGGCCCATGTTCAAATACACCTACCAGAGCAACTTCAGCTTGGTTCGCGCGCACAGAAAAGTTCGGCGCCCGCGACGTCGGCAGTGCCTGCACACAAATGCTAAGGAAGCGCACGGATCCCTATAGGCGTAGGGAAAAGCATCCAACGACCCGAATATTGTTGCATATTCGGGTGGCCCATTTTCAAATACACCTACCAGAGCAACTTCAGCTTGGTTCGCGCGCACAGAAAGTTCGGCGCCCGCGACGACGGCCGTGCCTGCCCCCAAATGCTAAGGAAGCGCACGGATCCCTATAGGCGTAGGGGAAAGCATCCAACGACCCGGATATTGTTGCATATTCAGGTGGCCCATGTTCAAATACACCTACCAGAGCAACTTCAGCTTGGTTCGCGCGCACAGAAAATTTCGGCGTCCGCGACGACGGCCGTGCCTGCCCCCAAATGCTAAGGAAGCGCACGGATCCCTATAGGCGTAGGGGAAAGCATACAACGACCCGAATATTGTTGCATATTCAGATGGCCCATGTTCAAATACACCTACCAGAGCAACTTCAGCTTGGTTCGCGCGCACAAAAAAATTCGGCGCCCGCGACGACGGCCGTGCTTGCCCCCAAATGCTAAGGAAGCGCACGGATCCCTCTAGGCGTAGGAAAAAGCATCCAACGACCCCAATATTGTTGCATATTCGGATGGCCCATGTTCAAATACACCTACCAGAGCAACTTCAGCTTGGTTCGCGCGCACAGAAAAGTTCGGCACCCGCGACGTCGGCCGTGCCTGCACACAAATGCTAAGGAAGCGCACGGATCCCTATAGGCGTAGGGAAAAGCATCCAACGACCCGAATATTGTTGCATATTCGGGTGGCCCATTTTCAAATACACCTACCAGAGCAACTTCAGCTTGGTTCGCGCGCACAAAAAAGTTCGGCGCCCGCGACGACGGCCGTGCCTGCCCCCAAATGCTAAGGAAGCGCACGGATCCCTATAGGCGTAGGGAAAAGCATCCAACGACCCGAATATTGTTGCATATTCGGGTGGCCCATGTTCAAATACACCTACCAGAGCAACTTCCGCGTGGTTCGCGCGCACAGAAAAGTTCGGCGCCCGCGACGACGGTCGTGCCTGCCCCCAAATGCTAAGGAAGCGCACGGATCCCTATAGGCGTAGGGGAAAGCATCCAACGACCCGGATATTGTTGCATATTCGGGTGGCCCATGTTCAAATACACCTACCAGAGCAACTTCAGCTTGGTTCGCGCGCACAGAAAAGTTCGGCGCCCGCGACGACGGCCGTGCTTGCCCCCAAATGCTAAGGAAGCGCACGGATCCCTATAGGCGTAGGGGAAAGCATCCAACGACCCGAATATTGTTGCATATTCAGATGGCCCATGTTCAAATACACCTACCAGAGCAACTTCAGCTTGGTTCGCGTGCACAAAAAAATTCGGCGCCCGCGACGACGGCCGTGCCTGCCCCCAAATGCTAAGGAAGCGCACGGATCCCTATAGGCATAGGAAAAAGCATCCAACGACCCCAATATTGTTGCATATTCAGATGGCCCATGTTCAAATACACCTACCAGAGCAACTTCAGCTTGGTTCGCGCGTAAAGAAAAGTTCGGCGCCCGCGACGACGGCCGTGCCTGCACACAAATGCTAAGGAAGCCCACGGATCCCTATAGGCGTAGGGAAAAGCATCCAACGACCCGAATATTGTTGCATATTCGAATGGCCCATGTTCAAATACACCTACCAGAGCAACTTCAGCTTGATTCGCGCGCACAGAAAAGTTCGGCTCCCGCGACGACGGCCGTGCCTGCCCCCAAACGCTAAGGAAGTTTGAGAGTACGTCGGCTTATGCTTGTTATTCATGCTTGCTATTATTTCCTTACGCTATTCCTAGCTTAGGTTTATTTTCTGCATGCATGAATTGCTTGAATTTCTAGGTTCGTTGCTTTACTATAGATATTATAGTTACATGCACCGAACTAGGTTACGTGTACCGAACTCAAGCTATTCGGTTGCCACCGAATTGCTTTCTACCGAGTTCGGGAAGGTTCTGTTCGGGACGCTTCGCGACCCTCGGAACATTCGCGTAACACCTGGGTTACCTGCCTTGTGTCGAGCCTATATATAGCCTCATGTTGTACCCAGGTGATCATTCAATTCAAATCATCTTTTCTGAGCTCGATCCTAGATCCTCACATTTGGTAATCAGAGCCCGTTTACACGCGAAGTTCTTTCGACCGCTAAAAACCAGTCTTCAAAAAACCTCGGGGGCGACGCAGTTAAACATCGATTTCGGGTACGTAAAACCGGTTCCGTGTTTTTCGCTCCCCCTCGATTCGGTTTTTCGGACGCGCTAATGTCAGGCATGGAAGGCCAAGGCGACAACTACGCGACTACGAGCGACATTGCGAGCCTCCGCACCGACATGGAGCAGACGCAGGCGACGCTTCGACGACTCGAGGCTTTTCTGACAAGCCAACCAGGGTTCGCCACCGCAGCAGCAGCGACCGCAGCGACTGCAGCACCGACAACTCCAGCAGCAGTGGCGACACCGACATTTCACGGACCGATGGCACCACTATCGCCGAACCTCGAAGCAGCACGACCGAGGCTCCCGGAGGCGTTCGATCCAAGCGCGAAGGGATCCGACGTCCGGCGATTCGTGGCAACCCTCGAAATTTACTTCGAGGCCATTGGCTGTTCGACCCCGCAACACGTCGCAGCAAGGATTCGGCTCGCAGCGACACTGTTACGTGGACCGGCACTTGAGTGGATTTACTACACCGACGTAGCCCGCGGGGAGAAAACGTGGCAGCAGTTTCGGGCAGAATTAATCGAGCGTTTCGAACCGATTAATACCACCTACATGGCGCGGCAACAAATTCATCGGCACAAGCAGTACAGTAGTGTAGCACAGTACACGCAGCAGATGGAGCTCCTGTTCAACCGCATCCCCGATCTTACCGAAGGCGAAAAAAATCCAGGCGTACACGGAAGGGTTAAAATTAGAGATTCGGCGGCAGGTGATCGCGGCGAATTACGACAGCTACAGGGATATCGTGCGTGCAGCTGAGCGATACGATGCGCTGACTCGAGGTCAACCCGAAACACCGTACATTCGGTACGGAGCGATCGGCACCCCCCACGTTCGCCGAACCGATGGATATCGACAAATTTGACGCGAAGCAGCAGTCGGCGAAATGCGAATTTTGCGGCGCAGCAGGGCATCAAATTTTGTCGTGCTACAAAATGAAGAAAGCACGTGCGGCACTCCGGGACAATAACAGTGGACCACCCCCGAAGTAAAAAAACGGGAATCGCTAGTAGTCGCGGATCGACCTGGCGATCGCGTAAAGATCCGAAAAGCAGGAAAAGGCGACGACGTGGCGACTTCGGAGCGGGTGAAAAAAGGAGAAAATGATGGCGCGAATC